CCCCAAAACCCCAAAACCCCAAAACCCCAAAACCCCTTTCTCTTAAAATATTATTGAAGTTGTTAGAAAAATAATGAAATTCCCGAAGCCTCCAATAACCCCGAAGTCTCAATTCCATCTGAGTAAGTTTGGGCTATCTAACAAGCACTATTAATTCTAGACTCGAGGAAAATGGAAACATATAACCAGATAAAGCTTTCAAGATCTCTGAATAGAAAGATTGGGCATAGCCCAACCCTTCCAATTGAGAATTTGAAGAGTAAATCTTTTACTATTGCTCCTTCGATCAGGAATAATTTGATTTAGACAAGTCCAGCTCCTTTGCAAAATTGCATATAAAGGATAGAGGCCTCCAAAGCTCAAGTAATTGTTAAAGCTTGGCCTTTTGGAACCCCTATTTTTATAGGTAATGATACGATAGAAGAGGAAGAGTTCAAAGCTACCATGCCTCGATGTAAGCTTTATAAAATGATAAATAATAGTAAAACCGTCGTCTCCTAAAAGAGGAGTGTCCCATCCTCCAAAGAATGCGTAAGAGATATAGATTATTATAATAGTCATTCACTCGAACAGGCACTTGCAAACTTTCTCAAGAACTCTGACACTATTGAAACTAAAACAGTTGAGAAGTAAGGCTAATATTAATAGTTTTAGGAAGTTTAGCAAATAAACCTAAAAGCAGGAAGGTGAATACTAAGTTAAAGCTTGTTTTGCCACCTGCTTTCAACCTTCCTAAAATCGACCAAGTGTCTACTCCAACCGAGATGTCTTGGTATGCTCACCTATTTTATGCATTTAGTAAGGGTGACTTTGAAAATCTGGACACTAATAGGGAGATAAGGTAACTCCAATCCTCATCTCTAGGAAAATGCTTCATAATCAGGTGAGGGTGATTTAAGAACAAGACAATAGTCAGAGGTAAAGATTAATCACCACTATTATAGAGACAAAGTCCTCTTTGATCAGGAAGAGAATAGCTCAAGAGAATAAGAAGTAAAATCTATGCTTATCTCTAGGAAGGCAATATCTGAAGAAAAGGATGTAGGATTTAGGTACAGGAATAAGCTCAATTCACGCATTCTGGTCCTTAACAAACGGTGTAATGACGAGATGAAGAAATAGTACAAAACTTCATAAATTTGTTGGGAAAATCGAAGTTATAGTCAATAAGTAAGTTTAGATGCTAATCCTAGGTCCTATGGAAACCTTCACAAGCTCATAAAGGTAAGGGTTTAAGTGGAATTTTAGAAATCGGAGAAAGAAAAGAAGCAAAAGTTGACACTGAAAGATGGTCTATTGATACAACTACAGAAAAAAACTGTAAGATAATGAATCATTTAGAATAGGCTAATATTGGGCTAGGACATTTCTCCTCTCACAACACTCGAAATTCGGATAAAGTTTCTATCAGAGTAAGAAGCCACGATGTAGCCAATAATAGGTATAGCGACTTTGACTGGTAAGGGCTGGAAGCCCTTACCAGTCTCTTGGTCGTCTATTCCTAGTAATCCTTCTATCACTGCTCTAACTTATGTGCGAACCTTTATTCCAATTTGTTTACAGAATAGCCGAAGCGGTCCTAATCGATCACTTTAGAGCAGTTTTGATCAATTTTGAACAAAATTTAGGGGTTTTGGGGTTTTGGGGTTTTGGGG